CCCATAAAAGCGCTTTTTTATATTGAAAAAGTCCTTTTTGAGGCATGGTGCATTACAATCATTGATGGTTGGAATATTACAGTATAGACAAGAAAAACGTGATTTTATATTACAATATTACTTTTCAATGCGTTGTTTGAGACATTATGATTGAAAACAGATAATTCAATTTCGGATTCTGAACCCGTTTTACAAACACTGTGTTTTAGGCTTCTCTGGCTCTGCCTCCATGTTTCGTCAAATCTTATCATATTTTACATTTTTACATGCAATACCACAAAAATTATTTAAAAAATATATAAACTGTACCGTCCGGTCCTCCCGACACATAGACCGAGCGAGCGGTTAACCTAATGCTGCTCATCCAGGTCACAATCAAGACCGCACGTCCGAGCTAAGACTGACCTATTGGCCAACCGTACATAGAACGAGCGGTCCTCCAAGGTCGTCCATTTAGGTCGACCGATAAGACTGAGTGTCCATCATGACCGATTGGCAGAATCGAGTGGCTTCCCACCCAGGTTGACATCTTTGGTCGGTCACCCTGCTGACCAGCCGTCACGCCCGTCCCTCACTATGTCGACTACGCGGTTAAATACTAATGACTCATTAAAACCCTTAATGAAGATTAAGGTATGATTGGACCGTTTTCAGGCCTACAAAAGGTAAAAACCCATTACAATCAGTATAAATAAAGGTCTCAGGTATGATTTCTGGACAGATTGCTTACAATGCAATATGCACATGCATTACAGACCACTTGGTCATGTTACTGACTTAAGCGTTGGAGTGCCTTTGACAGGTACACGACCGTCCGGCTTGGAGAGCGATGAGGGAGAGGACGAATACGACAACCAGGACTTGAAGACGAGAAAGCCCATTCGGCCCTTCCCAGCACGTCCAGCCCTCAGCCAAGAGGTTACCGTCCAGTTTTCACCAGCTTCTAGTGCACCTAGAGACAGAGCCGCTCAATCTGCTTCAGCTCGTGAGAAAGCGTTCGTCCGTCACCAAATACCCGTCCGATCCGTAGCATGCGATATCATTCGTCCGCCACTCTTTACCGTTCCTGAGTGTTTTCACAGGGTTCCACTAGATCCGGTCAAAACATAAACTAATTTTTATTTATACTAAAATTCTTTTGTAATACATTGAGCAGTATCAATATGCTATTGTGTGTGTGTTTTAAGTATATAACTTGGTTTTTAATTTATTAGAAAAACAATATAACTTTTTCTTAAAGTATATAACATTTTTTTAATTTATTAGAAAAATCAATATGCTATTTTGTGTAACAGTTAAAAGTATATAAAATATGCTAAAAAATTTATCAGAAAAAAATCAATTAATAACTTGGTTTTTAATTTTTCTTTTACTGAGTTTTAATATTTATTAAATAAAATTAATTTGATTTATTATATTAATATAATATTTCTTTTAGAAATAATTTAATCTTTATATTTACAGGTTAGGAAAAGTGTTCGTGTTAAAATTTGGAACCCATATTAAAACAAAAAATTTCAAATATAAAAAGATATACAAACTTTAACCCAAAACATATTTCAGAAGTTGTTAATATCAATATAATAAAATCAAATATATTTAAAATATATTAATTAAATTGAGTAAAAAATTAAAAAAATCAATATGATGGAGTGTATGGAAAAAAATATTAATTAAATTTAAAATAATATTAAGCGATAATAATATGGATGAGATATTTCTTTTGATAGAATATACCACTTCAATATACAAATTAAAACGGGAATTTCAAACTGAAAATTTGTTGGGTATTGACTCATTGGGATGGAGCAATTTGAATTAAGAAAAAATAATTATAAATTAAATAAAAATAAAAAATAAAATATTAAGTTAGAAAGTGATTGAAAGCTAACAGGATAAGGGAATACAAAATAAAGATACGCTGATTTCTTGAAAATGAAGACGTGAATACAATCTTTAAGTAACGTAAATTAATAAATAAGTTATAATTTATGAGGTTTAAGCTTATACGATGTAATCTTTCAACCATTTTATTATTAATTTTATATATTTTTTACTACATTCTTGGAACTTGGTGCCTCCCTTTTGTCAAATCTAAATTTAAAAAGCTCCACATCAACCTTATTAGTAAGGAAAATGATACTTGAACAACCATTTTTGACAACATTTAGACACGCGCACACGTGTCAAAATCTGAGTAGTCCAGTTGGAAAAATTAAATGAAAATGGACCACTCAGATTTTGACACGTGTGCGCGTGTCTAAATGTTGTCAAAAATGGTTGTTCAAGTGTCATTTTCCTATTCGTAAATCGTGTAAATTGTATATCGTGTTTAATTTGTGACGTGTATTTCTATTTGAGAAAATAAATATAGCTTTGGGGAAAAAATTAACATAACTGAGTTCAAATTCTCAAAATGTAGAATGAGCGCATGCTTCAATTATCTTTTAAAGTGTGAAAATAAGGGTTTTTTTTTTTCTAGCAATAAATCATTATAAAAAAAACTCATATAACATGATTTATTAAAGTAGATTTTTACGCACATTAGGAGTTAAGATTTTAGAAAATTAAATTTTGTAATATAAATTATATCATTATGTCAAATGTTGAAAACATATTAAAAAAAAAGTGTTCTATGAGAAAACGAGTTACGTAAAGTTTTTCAATTTTGTCTTATATACAAAAGTGATATATACATATTTACTAACTTTAAAAATTTTAAATATTAATTAGATATGTTCAGAAATGAAAAAGTTAAACATATTATAAAAAAAAAATACTTAATATTTTGGATTTGAGTTAATCTAAGTATAAGTCTCTTAGGTAAATTCTACTTATTTTTAATTTCTAGAATAAATCTATGTAAAGATCTATCATTATAACTTGTGGTTTATTTTGGTAATTGATTTACATAGAGAATGTTATATATGAAGATTCTATATATAAGTTTTTTTTTGTGACAATAATTTTATCAACCTTAATATATTATTTTGACAAAATAATAGTATATAAAAGTCACAATTAAAGTACTAATGATTGGTATATGGAAATATGAAAATGACATATCTTAACAAAAAGATGATTAAGAATGGAATATAGATCTAAGTCTAGTGTTAATCAAATATATAATTTATAAATAATTTAAAGAAAAAAAATAATATAAATTTGTTACATTAAATTTATCTAATTCTTTTAATATTTATACCCAATTCAAAAAATTATAAATTATTTATATCTATATTTAATTTTAAAAAATATTACTCATACTCTATTACAGTATTTTGCGAATACGAAAATTAAAATAAAACGAGATAATAACTTGAAATAAGATTCTAAAAAGATAAAATAAAAACTTATATTTCCAAAATCTGACAACGCTGCAGTATCCCCGTTCCCTGCTGTATATCTATGTAGCTGGCAAATGCATAAAGATGTACCATGATTTTCATAAAATAATAATATTGTAAAATAATTCATATTAACAATAAAAAAAAGAGACATAATAATTTAGATTACTTTAATAATTTTTTAATTATTCATCGACTATAACATTATTTTATATTTTTATATTTCCTTAGGTGGTTGAATTTTCTTAAAATAAAAAACTTATATTTTTATTTTATTTTTGTAAAATAAAAAAAACATTTATTTTACTAATAAGTGAGTAAATTATTTTTTATTTATTAAATAAAAAATATTTTTAGCATATGCTAATTTAGAAAATAATTAAATATACTTTTATTCTTTAATTTCAAGAAAAAATAAAATTAGTTCTTCTTCAAAATTTTGAATTATTACAGTATTTAGTTTTTTTAACCAAATTCTATTAATTTTATTAAAAATTTTAAAAATATTTCTCAACTAACATTTGAAAAACATGTCAAACGATTAAAATATTATCATAAATATATTTAAAAGTTAAATAAATTGAACAAAATTTAATTAAATTAACATATTTATAAAAGTTTGATATTATAAATACATTTAAATATCAAACAAATTTAATAAAATTTGGTTAAAAAAATAAACTCACATATTTAAAAATTAAGAAAATAAATTAGTCAATTTTTTAGTAATATTTGTAATAGTTTTATACGAAAGTTTGGTATAACTTTGAAAATCAGATATTTTATTTATTTTAATTCACAAAAATAGTTTTACGAGAGAGACAGTAAATTATTACATACTCCACCTTAAAGTTGTACCCGAATAATAATAGGTCCGAATCAAAGAAACTGAGAAAATTTTTGCTATAAAAAATAAAAAAAGAAATTAGGTCAAGTTGCTTCCTTGAACTTTACTCAAAGAAAGAGAAAAGAAGAGACAGTCATGGATACATCCATGTCTTTATCTCTTAAGGCATTCATCCAGAGATGTTCAGAAAATACACACTTAATACCCTTACCTGTTTTTCCTGGACCACGCGAAAACCCCATCATTTTTTTGTCTTTATTATAATTCTCTTCACCTCATACTCAAAACAAACCAAACCAAACCCATCAAACATTCAACAACATAAACACAACACAAAGCAGAGAAATGAAGATCCAGTGTGATGTCTGTCACAAAGAAGTCGCCTCCTTCTTCTGCCCTGCAGACGAAGCAGCTCTCTGCCATGCTTGTGATCGCACCATCCACCATGCCAACAGGCTCGCTCACAAACACAAACGCCTCTCTCTCGGCCACCCCACCTCCATAGCCGCCACTCTCTGTGATATCTGTCATGTACCTCCTTTTTTCTTTCCCTTCTCTGTCACTGTGTTTTTAAGCTTTAAACTAGTCCCATATTGATCAAGAATCAAATCTGCAGAGAAGACATACAGCATAAAACATCTCACGTTATTTAAATTCTTTGGCAGGAGAAGCGCGCCTATGTCTTCTGCAGACAAGACAGAGCTCTCCTTTGCAGACAATGTGATGTTTCCATCCATGATGTCAACGAACATACCAAGACGCACGACAGGTTTCTTTTCACTGGAATAACGCTTGAAGAAAAAACCAGAACAACCTCAACCTCGTCAACCTCAAACCCCGCACAAACTTCACTCTCGAACGAGAACATTGATTCTTTTGCTTCTTCTCGCACACTTAATAACTCGAGTTCGGTTCTCACTGGAATAACGCTTGAAGAAAAAACAACCTCAACCTCATCAACCTCGAACGAAAACATCGATCCTTTTGGTTCTTCTCGCACAGTTTATAACTCGAATTCGGTTTCAACAAGTAGCTTATCCGAGTACTTGATTCAGACCATTCCCGGTTACTGCATGGAAGACCTTTTAGATGCTTCGTTTGCTGCATCAAATGCTTTCTCTAAGGTATCATATTTAGTTGCAATTTAATTAATAATACTCATTAATTACGGTTAACTTTAATTAAGTGTTTATTTTTGTTTCATTCAGGATTATGAGTTTCCGAATGAAGATGTTCAAGTTAGCATGTGCTCCATCCCACTGCAAACTCAATTTAACACTGCTTCGAATGTTTATCCTGAAATGCCAAAAGCTAAAGCCGGTGAAGGATACTCAGATTGGATTCATAATTCTGATTCCGCAGCCTATAAAGTTCCATCGATTACTTCTCCTTTAGTAAAAAAAATTAAACGCTCTCGTTGATCTGATCAATTCTATGTGAAAATTTGTTGCAGAAATGAGTTATTTTTCTGCAATTTTTCTTATTTTGTACGAAGATTCATGGAAACCACCAAAACCCCTACTTTCTCGAGATCCTAGTTGGATGGCTCTTGTTTTCAGCATTTTTTTCTTTCAAAATTTTAATTTTTCTTCTTTTTTCTGTTGGAAGTTCACTTAATAAAATTTACAAGTTAAATTGAATTTAAAGTTTATATTTTAATATTCTTAACATGATTCATGAATTTGAATATATTATAATAAGATTTATTGTTGATTGATATATTATTTTAGTTATAGATTTATTTACTAATATTTAGTTGTAGACTCTAAATATATATATTTTAGCATAAGAAAAACGTGTGGAAAATAATATCAGTTTTGAATAAATGCAAACTACATCTTATAAATTAAAATTTTAAAATGGTAAATTCGAGTTAAACTTTGAAGTCTAACTTTTAGGATTTTCCATTATACTTTTATGGAACGAAATACGCCTTTAAGTATAGTACTCTTGGTTCTTAATAAAATGGGTTCAGCTAACACCTTTTTGCACTTCTATGAGAACAAAATATCTGAGGGCCATCGTATGTGCACTGTTGTGTAAATATCTTATCGTTTTATTAATTTTTTATTTTGTGTTTTGTTTTGCTTTTACAATAATTGAGTAAACGCTCATAAGCAAATAAGTAACCGACAGTTGTATAGTTGGAGAAAAATAAGCATGTATTGCAATGGAGAAACTTTAAATAAACAACAAAACCAAATAAATATAAGGATGGTTGCGAGTAAAATAATTAGAGTTTATCATTATATATTATATTTAAAGTATTGTCAGTTTTGAAGAATAAAATTCTATTACAGTTTTATATTTAAAAGGCATATATTAGAAAATAGAAAAAAGAAATAATATTGAAACTGCTTTATACTTTAATTTTTAAATAACTTAAAATCATTAAGTGTGATAGAAATAAAGATAATTTGAAATAAAATAATGTTAATTTGCTTGTAATTAACTCTTCATTAATCCTCTGAGAACCCAAAATTTGAGATTTAAAAGAATGGGTTAGTGTATTAGGCTAATAGAATCAAATTTTTATTTTAGTATAAGATAGATTTTTGAACGTTCATTTGCTATTTTCACTATCTCTCTAAAATCTCAAGTTCTTCCAAGTTCTCTTGTTTCTCTCTAACCTCCACACTTACTGACTCAGTGCATGTCCGTTTAGGTGGTGTCCAAGCGTCCACAGCGTAAAGGGCTTTATTTTGAACCGATTAATTCTTTCATTCGGACCGGTAAGTAGTTCTCCATTTTCCTCTGCTATTTTAAAACCTAGAACATACAGTTCTACTGGTTGCATGTATCTTGTGTTCTCCCTTTGCTAAATCTTGAGCTGTAAGAGTCGTTTTCGTCACCAATGTGGTGGTTGTAGGGTTTTGTCTAGGTTCTTGCTGAGTCCGACACTGTTGAGTCGTTTTTTTGAGCTGGGCTACTCAACTCTAAGGTAAGGGGAGGTAGAAATACTTCTTTATAATTAGTTGCATGTATGTGTATATACTGAGTTATGTATTATTTTTGCTGCTTGGTTTGGATGTTAAGTTTTGAGTAGATGGAATGATATGTATTGCATGTGTTGAAGTGTTGAATTTGTCAATCTGTGAGTTGATGTTAATAAACTGTATTGGATGCGTTTGACTGTTGGAATGGTTCATGTTAGAAGTATTTTGAGTAGAAGGTTGTTGTAACCTGGTTTTGGCAGAAGCATAGTGAAATATTAGTGTTTTGAAACTGTTAAAAGGAAGTGAGATAGTAATTTTGAGCTTTGGATGTCCAAAGTGTATTTGGGCTATTCGGGAAGTTTCAGCAAGTGTATTGTGACTTGTTTGAGTCACTAAAGTGGTCCAAATAGGTGCAAAGTGTTAAAATTGGGTTTGGGATCCTCAAGTGATGATAATTGAAGTTGAGGAGTAAGAGTTGAGTTGTAATCACCTTAAAATTGTATTATGATGGTTTAGGAACATCTAGACAAGTTTAATTAGGTGTAAAACATGAATTAGGGGTGTTAGAAATTGGAGAAAAGGCCTAGAAATGGTAAGAGAGTGTGTGAGTTGCATAATTCTGCAGAATTTGCGTTCTGCAGATTATGCAGACTCGCTGAGCGAACTGTTTCGCACAGCGAGTCACCCTGGCGAGATGTTCTCTGTCAGGGCATTCGCACAACGAGTTGGTGCGCTGTGCGAATGGCTAGAGATGGTTTCTCTTTGTTTGGTGATTCGCATAGCGAATCTGGGCGCTGTGCGACTAGTGGTTGTCTGGAAAATGCTAGTGTGATTCGAATAACGAATTTGGGGCATTATGCGAGGGTTTAGGGTCTGATAATGTGTAGCAGAATTTTCAGTTTAGCATAGCGCACATACTTGGTGCGCTGTGCGAATGGAATTTAGCATAGCGCACAGACTTGGTGCGTTGAGCGAATGTGAGTGAGTAAAATCCACTATTTTTGTTATTCACACAGCGAGTTTGGTGCGTTGAGCGACTTGCCCAGAACCTATTTTTATTCTTTTTATTCCTGTTTTATGATAACTTTGAACTATGTTTTGATTATTGGAATGGTGTAAAAGTATCTATGATATTGTATGATCAGTGAGGTTATATGTTTGGATTCAATGTGATAATATTATGGTATTTGGTTGTTCATGTCTTGAGCTAAGTTTCAAAGTGACAGTATGGTTGATAGACGTAATTCCATGGATCTCAAAGGGAGCTTACATGGTGGTGTCCTATGTCATTGAACGTAATTCCATGCTCTTCAAGGAAAGGATTCATGGTTATGCCCTTAGTATGTTCTAGAATGATTTGCATGGTAGCTCAGTCTTGGGGGTTATCCTAAAACTACAATGGTCAATCATTCTCAAGTAGAGAGGATTGAATCATGTCGTGAGTAATAGCAGGAGGTCCTAGTCTTGGGTGCTTCCAGTATGGTCCAAGGTGAGTGATAACGGACTAACCTCGTGAGTGTGGTAGGGTGAAACCCATTACCAATGGNGTTTTTTTAACCAAATTCTATTAATTTTATTAAAAATTTTAAAAATATTTCTCAACTAACATTTGAAAAACATGTCAAACGATTAAAATATTATCATAAATATATTTAAAAGTTAAATAAATTGAACAAAATTTAATTAAATTAACATATTTATAAAAGTTTGATATTATAAATACATTTAAATATCAAACAAATTTAATAAAATTTGGTTAAAAAAATAAACTCACATATTTAAAAATTAAGAAAATAAATTAGTCAATTTTTTAGTAATATTTGTAATAGTTTTATACGAAAGTTTGGTATAACTTTGAAAATCAGATATTTTATTTATTTTAATTCACAAAAATAGTTTTACGAGAGAGACAGTAAATTATTACATACTCCACCTTAAAGTTGTACCCGAATAATAATAGGTCCGAATCAAAGAAACTGAGAAAATTTTTGCTATAAAAAATAAAAAAAGAAATTAGGTCAAGTTGCTTCCTTGAACTTTACTCAAAGAAAGAGAAAAGAAGAGACAGTCATGGATACATCCATGTCTTTATCTCTTAAGGCATTCATCCAGAGATGTTCAGAAAATACACACTTAATACCCTTACCTGTTTTTCCTGGACCACGCGAAAACCCCATCATTTTTTTGTCTTTATTATAATTCTCTTCACCTCATACTCAAAACAAACCAAACCAAACCCATCAAACATTCAACAACATAAACACAACACAAAGCAGAGAAATGAAGATCCAGTGTGATGTCTGTCACAAAGAAGTCGCCTCCTTCTTCTGCCCTGCAGACGAAGCAGCTCTCTGCCATGCTTGTGATCGCACCATCCACCATGCCAACAAGCTCGCTCACAAACACAAACGCCTCTCTCTCAGCCACCCCACCTCCATAGCCGCCACTCTCTGTGATATCTGTCATGTACCTCCTTTTTTCTTTCCCTTCTCTGTCACTGTGTTTTTAAGCTTTAAACTAGTCCCATATTGATCAAGAATCAAATCTGCAGAGAAGACATACAGCATAAAACATCTCACGTTATTTAAATTCTTTGGCAGGAGAAGCGCGCCTATGTCTTCTGCAGACAAGACAGAGCTCTCCTTTGCAGACAATGTGATGTTTCCATCCATGATGTCAACGAACATACCAAGACGCACGACAGGTTTCTTTTCACTGGAATAACGCTTGAAGAAAAAACCAGAACAACCTCAACCTCGTCAACCTCAAACCCCGCACAAACTTCACTCTCGAACGAGAACATTGATTCTTTTGCTTCTTCTCGCACACTTAATAACTCGAGTTCGGTTCTCACTGGAATAACGCTTGAAGAAAAAACAACCTCAACCTCATCAACCTCGAACGAAAACATCGATCCTTTTGGTTCTTCTCGCACAGTTTATAACTCGAATTCGGTTTCAACAAGTAGCTTATCCGAGTACTTGATTCAGACCATTCCCGGTTACTGCATGGAAGACCTTTTAGATGCTTCGTTTGCTGCATCAAATGCTTTCTCTAAGGTATCATATTTAGTTGCAATTTAATTAATAATACTCATTAATTACGGTTAACTTTAATTAAGTGTTTATTTTTGTTTCATTCAGGATTATGAGTTTCCGAATGAAGATGTTCAAGTTAGCATGTGCTCCATCCCACTGCAAACTCAATTTAACACTGCTTCGAATGTTTATCCTGAAATGCCAAAAGCTAAAGCCGGTGAAGGATACTCAGATTGGATTCATAATTCTGATTCCGCAGCCTATAAAGTTCCATCGATTACTTCTCCTTTAGTAAAAAAAATTAAACGCTCTCGTTGATCTGATCAATTCTATGTGAAAATTTGTTGCAGAAATGAGTTATTTTTCTGCAATTTTTCTTATTTTGTACGAAGATTCATGGAAACCACCAAAACCCCTACTTTCTCGAGATCCTAGTTGGATGGCTCTTGTTTTCAGCATTTTTTTCTTTCAAAATTTTAATTTTTCTTCTTTTTTCTGTTGGAAGTTCACTTAATAAAATTTACAAGTTAAATTGAATTTAAAGTTTATATTTTAATATTCTTAACATGATTC